TTTTTTTTTTTTTTTTTTTTTTGGCATGGCAACTGGCAAACATTTGATTAATAGAAATAGAAACAGTTGTTTGAAAAAATGCTAACGACAAATTTTTTTGTAGAAATCGTTTCTTAATTTAAAAAAAAAAAAAAAATTGCGTGGGGTTGTTGCTACTATCGCTAAAATGTTACATTAATTAATTAATATTAGGGGGTGGTCAATGGAAATATTATATAACGTTAAATGCGGTAAGGGCGGGTAAAAATGTCATATTTTTCTGTTTTATAATATATTCATGGCCCTATATTGTATATTAAACAGATGCAAATTAAAATGTTTTTAATCTCTCCAATTACACTTTTAGATGCGAAAATAATACGAGCAGCTTTGTATGGCTTGTATGGTTACCCCAGAAACAAATATGGCAGACAATTGTTGACACACTTTTGCTTGAGCGTGAAACGTCTTTGGAGGTAGCTTCACAAAAACTAGAAAAGTACCGAGCGATCAATTTTCAACTTAAAAAGTTTTTAAAAAGAGTATGAAAATTTAATGTTATTTGAATATTTATTAATTTTTTATAGTATAGGCAGACCTCTTTTAGTCTTTAGACTTTTCTGTCTTGAACTTGATATTGAAATTATAATAAAATAATAACTTATAACTTAGGCCTATACCTTTTAAGTAATTTAAGTTAAATTTTATAAAGATAACAAAGTAAAAGTTAACACTAATACTGACACTAATGACTGAATTTTCTCTGTCACTGTCAAATGTGTGAGTAGTTAGTAACTAAGTGATTGTTTTATGCTACGACAGCTACGTAATGGTAGTGTTAGGCCTCAAAATTGTAAAAGGCTAATTATTAACTTCATATTTATTAATACTTTAAAAAAATTTTCAGTTTAGGTGTCCAAAGGCTAATATTAAGGACGGCTGCCACGGCGTCTTTTGTGTGTTTATTATAGTTGTCGTGAATAACGGTTTAGGTTAGGTTAAGGGATAGATTTAGGGTTCAGGTTAGGCATAGAAATCGATTTAGGGTTCAGGTTAGGCATAGGGATCGGTTTAGGATTCAGGTTAGGATAGGGATCGATTTAGGGATACATTCGTGAAATTCGATAAAATAGTGGCAGTCATCCTTTATATTTACTGTGTCCAAATTCAAATGTGTGATATGTATGAAACATTGTTGTGCAACTTCATATTGTCTAGTTTGAATGTGAACTTTAATTTTCTCGTTAAATAATTTCCATCATATAAGTGGCTGGAAGATCCTGTGGTCCGTGGTCTGACAACCATTTTCTATTCAAACACAATTGTCAGAATGCGTCAGCAAAATTTCACGTACAACCTATTGCGGCTGTTGCCAGAAATATCTGATACAGAAATATGCATACATTGGCTAGCTTAATGTGGTTTATTTGATACTACGTTCACCTATGCTACTTGTCAACAATCTTGCCCTTGCCATCTAAATCTAAGCAACCATGGCAGGAGCGCAGACGGTAAAAGAAGGAATAAAAAATGACTGTGACTTCAGAAAGTCTATAAGACACAGTTCTTTCTTCAGTAGCAGCCATCTGTCACAAAAAATTAAAGAATAATGACATTTTCTTCTGTTTTTTGGCTACGGTTATTGATAAGTATATCTTGTACTCTTTTATGCTTAAATATAGTATACAGATTAAAGTGCTTGACTGTCAATTACATTGTTGTTAATTTGGGCACCCAAACTGGGCAATTACCTTAAATTGTTATTGTGTGGTGGCTTTTATATTTTTTATTAATTATTAAAAGAGCTGTATTTTAAGAAAAACTGCTAAGAAACTAAAAACTCTAAGACTTGTCTAAGTTATTATTAAATTTACTAACAAAAACTGCTTAGAGTGTATTTATTATCCAGGCCAGAGAATTTATGGAGGGCAAAAAGATTATTTTATAACACAATTCCATTGGCATGATATTTAATAATATTTAGACCTACTACTCTACATTGCCTAAGCCTACATTTTTTTTTTTTGTTCTAGACCTTAGTTGTTTTTTTTTTAAATTTCTCAAGGAGAATTTCAGGATAACAATTAAAAATGTTTTATTGACTGTACCATTTAAACTTATCATATTTATTTAACATACAATGTCACTCCAGCTCATTTATGGGTATAATAATCACATTTTAATATAAATTAAAAAGAAACAACTCGACTTTTTGTAACAAATAACTAACAATTAATCACAAAGATTTACAGCTATGATAATAAGGAAAATAAATATAGAAAACTGATTTTGGTTAATTTATTCTATACATGAAAAGATTATACACTTTGAAGGAATGAGCTAGAAATGTTAAAAAATACCAATAGCTTAAAATAAAACTGCTTAATGAAGTCAATTATAGTTTCACGCTGTCAAATGCTTATTTTGATTACTTTGATAAGGTTTTATTTATTCTTTCCTAAGAAATGGCTGGGAAGAAAGGCAAAGGTAAGAAAGGAAAAAAAGGAAAGAAGAAAGGAAAGGGGAAAAAGGGACGAAAATCTAAAGAGCCCCAAATGACAGCTCAAGAAGCAATTTTAGCATACCAGTAAGTAATCAACCCATATTTGAACTAAAATGATGGTAGGGTCACTCCATTCTAAAAGTGTAGATATGTTGTCATTTTGAAATTTCAGTTTCTAAAATTATACACTGTATCTAATTTGAATTATATTAAAAAAATTTAGCAATTCATTTTTTTCTTTTAAAATGGATATAACTTTCTAGCAATTCTTGCAAGATACTAAAACTTTGAAGGGAAGAAAAGACCACTTGGTTTTGTTAGTTTCAAAATGACAATGCTGATAGTCTTTAAATAAGTTCTGTTTCTACCGTTTTTTTAAAGTAATTAAATTAACATTAAAAAAAACACCTTCATATGCAGGTCTAAAATTGTTAATGTACAAATAAAACTAATCTTGTTTCAATTTTTGCCTAAAGCGGAAATATTACAAATGATATTGATGATTACTTTATTTTCACTATGCAAGGCATTTTTGTTTTTGAGCAATTGTTACTATTCAAATTTTTCTAAAACATTTATTACTTTGTTTTTTTTATACACTTTTTATCAGAATAAATGTTGTTGAAAAAAAGTTGGAGGATCTTTCATATGAAATTCGTGGTTGGGAGGAGAAAAAAAGAAGAAACATTGAAAGGGTATGTACTAAAATGCTATTTAGGAAATTAGTGCATTTCAGGCAAACCATCAAGTTTTAAAAAAGGTCGGGACTTTGAAGCAATCCCTTTCTTATTTCATACAATATTATCTTAAATAATTAAGGACTGAGTCTATCTTTACAGAATGAAAAATTGAAACGAGAACAAGATCTTTTATTTCAACATTTATTGAAAACAAACAGAGACATGGCAGACCTTTTTAGTGGAGATGGTATGAAAACTAGGGATGACGTCACACAGGAAATGATGTTGAAATGGCATAGACAGAAGGAAAGAGAAAAGGAGATGGAGAGTAAGCTTTTTATTACATTTTTGAGATGAACTATTTAAAGTCCACACCCTTATCCAGTTGTTATAATCTAGTTTCTTGATAATCCTTGCTTTCCTTACTTCCAGAGCTGAAGAGTCAGCTGGCACTAAAGGAAGGGGAGATTAGCAATGTGGTTAAAGAGGTCAAATTTTGGAAATCATTCCGGGACTCTGGCCAGCACAAGCTGCACATGCAGATCAAATTATTAGAGCAGGAAATACAAGATATTGAATCAAGTTTTGTAGATATGGAAGGTGAGTGCTAGATACACCACACCTTGCTTAACCCATAGCCTACAAACCACATGCACACTTTGTTTGTTTTTTTAAAAACTAGCCAATATTATTCAATTTAATCCAACTGTTAATGGATAAACTCAGTGTTTCACAATTTTATGCTTTATAAAACTTACTCTTCATTGTTATCCATTTATTATATAAAGGTTCAGGACATCTGATATAAAATATCCTCTGATGCAATGGGCAGAAAATAATTTTGTACCCATGAATACAAAGGATATAAATAATTATTTTTAAATATTCTCAAGGTTTTCTTCTATTGTAAAAAATTTTGTTAATAAATTGTTTATGGACATGAAGCACCTGGACAAAGGGCATAAAATCAGTATTTAAGTCTTATATTGTCATGGGTACTTAAAGCTTGTATGATTTTGCCAAAAAGTTAATGCAGCATTTATAATGGTTTCACACTGTAATTTTTGTATGATCTGATTGTAGAATACAAATGGGCCTACATGTGAAATCTCTTTTACTGAAAAATTCCACTGCAGGTCATCTGTCAAAAGAAAATGAACTTGCAATTCATGAACTAGAGAAACTAACTGAAGAGGCATTGGCACAGCAAAAAGATAAAGCTTCAGAGGTAAGATAATATAATACAAACAACATACTGGAGTTCAAAATAAATATCTAGAAGTAATCAAAAAGCTTAATTTTTTTAATTAAGAAGATGTGAAATTAGTGCATTGATACCAATTTTATTCTACCAGTTGTAAGTTTAATGGTTGCCTGATGATTTTTAGAATTATATTTAATTTTTTATGGAATGTATAAGTTGTCTTTGACATTCTGTATGATATTCAATTATAAACATTAATTTTTTTTCTCCATCCTTCAAGGCTTTTTCGTTAACCCTTTCAGTAGTGTAGGGTCCATTTATAAATTACCTTCCGTGTTAGGCACAGGGAAATAACTCCATTTTGGTCATTTAGTTGCTGACTTAAAATTTTATTGAAAATCAATCTTGCACCCAGTTATAAAAAAAAATGTAAGGCAAATGTGTAGAAAAGATGAAATTTCCATTAAAATAAGTCTATTTTAGAAACAGTCATACCTACACATTCTTCAATGTCAATTGAGCGCAACTGGTCAGACCACTCAGATCTAAAAACAGTGTCTTGAAATTCATCATTGATGTACTTGCACTTTGAAGAGATTCTAGAAAGTCATTTCCTTTCTTAAGAAGGCAAACTTCATTAAGCATTCATCTGCTGTCAACAATTATTTTTTTAAATCAAAAGAAGCATAATATCAGGGCACAGCTGTCAAACTCCAGCATTACAGCTACACGTACATACATTCTAGAGATATATTATTTGTGATTACAGAGAGCATTAACTCAGCTTGACAAGAATGACAGGCAAGAAATTATGGACAATGAGTGGCTCAAGCGGGAGGTAATCTTATATTTAAAAAAAAATAATTTGTATTGAGCGGTTTTGATCCCATGTAGTCATTATTTTCTCGACATAGTTTGAGATATCTGATACAAAAATAACCATTTTAAAGTTTTCAACCAGCTTTCCTTTCAAATGTCATATTTGTTTAATTATTGAGGTGAGTTAATTATTTGCTTTAAATGGAGATCCCGTTATTCATGTTAAAAGTATAAGTTCTGTATACATAAATCTTAAGAGGGGAAAACAAGGGAAACAATTGTGATAATTGATACTTTTTTGTTTTAATGCAGCTACACCCCCCCCAACCCTCTTCTCCCTCTTTACAACACTTTATGATGCCCAGATTCACTAAGTAGCCAAAGAAAACTGAAAGTTTCCACTTAAAAAATTTTTTAGAAATTACCCAAAGAAAACAAAATATAATGCTGTGATGCAATGCATCTTTCAATTTTTCAATGTGTAAAAATTTACTGAGCAACAGTCAACCATAACACATCATGTAAGTGAGGCATGTATCACACGAGGCACTTCCATCCCTTACAACCCTTTTAAATGAGTTAATTTTACGCTTTAAGAAGTGTTTTTTTTTTTAAAAATATATATTAATATTTTAATTACTCTAAAGAAAACCTTATTGCTTATCGTGCTTATCTTGCTAATCTCTTGATTATAACCACTCAACATAAATTATGTTGCATCAAATCCTCCCAACTTAGGTGGCCATGCATCAAGTTGAAACAGATGGCATAAGACAAGTGGTTGAGATGTTAGAGAGAGAGAACCTCCAGCTGATGAGTGAATTGTTTGAGTGCTCTGTTGAAGACCTCAAGGTTTCCAGGTACTCTTTGAATTAATTAGATTTGTCCCAGTTTACAAACTTGACCTTTCAGAGAGTGAACAAATTGTCTCCCCCTGAAATACAATGATAATCATGATAAGTATAAATTAAGCAAATCTCAACATCTTATTTTTAAATATTAAAAATTTCACCACACAATTTCAAACTCCTGTGCAGGAACAGATTTTTTAAAAATACCGGCTACTTATTTAGTTGTTACATAATGTAACAGTTTTTAATGAGTTTGTAAAAGCATAGAATATATCTGCAAAAGAACAAATACACGCACGGCTATATGTACGAGGCGTTTATTTTAGTAATGTTTCAACTGTGTGAGTATTCTAGCAAAGTCATCTCTACCCTCTCCACTTTCAGGTCCTTTTATCTGACTCAAATTGATGATTCAGAGAATCTAGAAAATAATGGCATTTTAGAGATGGACCTAAGCCAAATAAGCCCTCTGCCCGATGAAATTATTGATGATCAGGTCGATAAACCTATTGCAGGCAAGTTGAAAATTATGAGTTATTCAATCAAATCAAGGCATTTTGTTTCCCTTAATAATGGTTTCAACAACAGATTTGAATGAAGTTTTTTATCACAGCTTTTTAGTATTCCCAACTTTCAAGTATTATTTTACAAGTTAATCTCAGCATACATAATTATAAGCTGTCAATAAAAGGGCATTCACATTGGTTACTTTTATCTTTCCCAATAGTTTGGGAGAAGATTTAGACAGCATAAAATTATATGATTTTTTTTATTTTGCTGTTTAATAAAACCAAAACACAACACCCCCACCCTCTCCCTACCCATTGCAGCTGGACGACCAAAGAGTGCAACCCAGAAAGCTGTGGAAGACAAAGTGTTTTCTATAATTGCTCGTCAAGCTTCCTTGGTTGACACGCAAGAGGACTTTGAAGGCAAACATCAAATTAATTAAAATAATTAAATAAAATTAATTAATTAAATCAAATTAAATCAACTTAAATTAATTAAAATTAGTTAAAATTAATTAATTAAATTAATTAAATAAATTAAATTAATTAAATCAATATTAGTTTTAGAGTTGTCTGACCATGTAGACATATTGTAGTTTAAAAGCCTGTCTTCATTAAGAATTTTTTTTTTTAATGTAAAAAAAAAAATAATTTGATTTTGACATTTTCAGATGAAAATGAATCTGATGAGCAATGTGGAGTCTATGACAACTATTATTTTGAAGAGGAAGATTTTGAGGTAAAATAACTTAAGTTATTGTTTTTCATTTTTATTTTAGCAGTGTTTAAAAATTGTAATGCTATCATTTTGATCGAATTTTCTGCAAGTGCTCTAGCCTTTAGGTTAATAAGATTGTACTTGAATTGTGCTTAGAAAGACAAAGAAATTGAAGTGTTAAATGAAAATTTTGCTGGTATTTTCATTAACTAATCCCTATAATTTTTTCTAAAATGTGCAGGATTACCTGAAACTGGGGCCCTTGGAGCTAAAATTACTAAGCATAACAGGAGCACCAAAGCCCATTCACAGAGCCCCAGCACTAACAGAAGAGGAATTGGAAGCTAAACAATACAAACCAGATGAATGGCCTGTTACCACAGCCATGTTGAAAGGCCCTTTACTTCCAACTGCTTCGAATACATAATACAACCTGCGTTAAATTGATACTTATTCCATTATAATTTGCCAATGTGTGACTGAAACTCCCCTGCAGAAATAAACATTTTTTACTTGAGGCCATTTTGTCTGTTGAAAGCTGGAGCAATCTCAAACTTTTGAAATTAATACATCCTGATAAATTTTCTTTTAAAAATGTAAAAAGACAAGGTAGTTGGAACTGTGTAGACTTTGAAATACATATATATATTTTAAATACTTCATACAATTGAGTTTATTACATACTTTTTTGTATTAAAAAAAAATACTGTATAAATGTGACTTTTCTGTTTCACTACCATAATTATAGGTTCTTTGTAATAAAGAATTGTAAAGAGATTATATCTCAAATAGTTTATATTGATGTTCAGTACTGTGGCAATTTTTGTTTATTAATTAATTTGAGGGGGTGGAGAGAATTCTTGTAGCATTGAAACTGGTCAATAATGCTTGTAAAGATTTTTTAAAGCATTCAACCAAAACGTTCTAAATAAATTGTTTACATGGAAATTTCTGGGAATTAAAACAAAAACTTAAATCTTTTCTGTTACGTGCAGGCTTTAAAATGAACTTCTAAATGTGTTTGGTAATGAAATTAACAAAATGCATAGATTTTATGATCCTTCAGTTCTGTTGAGTAGGCATTCATTAGGCCTTCAGCCAAGGCATCAATTCAGTTCAGTTGATGTAGGCATTCAGCCAAGGCATCAATTCACTTCAGTTAATGTATGCATTCAGCCGAGGCATCGATGCAGTTCAGTTGAGTAGGCCTTCAGCCAAGGCATCAATTCAGTTCAGTTGAGTAAGCATTCAGTAGGCCTTCAGCCAAGGTATCAATTCAGTTTAGTTGAGTAGGCATTCAGCCAAGGCATCAATTCGGTTCAGTTGTGTTAAGTAATCAGCCAAGGCATCAACAGAACTTAAGTACAATGAAGCAGTGTGAAACCAAGAACCAATAAAATAAATGCAATAAATGAATTGGTTAAAAATACTGCTTGACTTGGAAAGATTTTTAAATTGATATTTAACATAAAAATGACATTTATTCCAGCAAAATAAAATATATGGAGAACAATGAGGAAAATGGACCAGATACTAGATGTAGTCCATTATCAAAGATGTGAAGAAAAAAAGATGATGGGTTAAGCCACCAATATCATTTAATGAATAACACAACCCCTAAAAACAAAGTTGTTCTTTTTTTTTGTATAATCCTTTAAAATATATAATATAATATAGAGCAATAAGGGTGGGGCTGTCGATTTGACAAAACATGGATAAAAATAACGTACTTTATAAGAAACCCAGTTAGATTCACCCCCCCCCCCCCGTTTCCCCAAAAGACATGCCACCGCACATTATCTTGAAGCCCCTGAACTATATTAATATTCTTATGACCCACCTGCTTTCGCTTTTACGCCACACATTTATTTCACCAACTATTTCAGAAAAACAAAAGAAATATTACGCACCAAACGCACTTGCAATATTTTTTCTTTTGGTAAGAATCTTATCTCGTTTAGAACACTTATCTGAAATTTTCCTTTATGTTCCCCTTGACAAAGAGAAAAAACTGATTTTTGGGGGGTTAGGATTGATGGCTGGTGCTGCAAATTGAAAGAATGTGTTTTCGTTGGCAACGAATATATGTCATGTACCAAATTTCACCTCCATAGTTGACGGGGAGTGGGTCACTTAGCAGTCTGAAGATTTTGCCAGTCGCCTGCCAGCTACAAACAAAAGTGAAGTTAATATAAATGATATTTTAAAAAAAGGAAGATAAAATGGGAACACAGAGCTTAGGAAAAAATAGTTGCAGAACAAAGACTGTAAAATGGTAGAGTAAACCACCAACATACTAGATGCCACCAAAGAGATAGAGGAAGCAATAATTGGATGTCACAATAATTTTGGCCATTAGCTTTGAATGATGCTGAAACTGAGCAAACAGAAATGTGGAAATTATTGCCTAATGTACCATACAAAAATTTTAAATCAACACAAGGCCCCTAGTGGAACACAAAAATAAAAAGTGACATATTTTACTTGTAAAAAAAACCTGAATAGTTGGGTTTAAGTTACAGCTGATCCCCACACTACAACAATTTAAAAAAAAAACATTTTCAGACATTGTAAACTGATAAGAAATTGTGACTCAAAACGCCTTTTAGATGGTCAAGTTGTAACTTTATTGAATGAACCATCACAAAGCAATTACCCAACAGCTGTCAACAAACAGATGTAAAGATGTAATATTATAATGTCAAGGTAACAAATGGTCTCTTTGAATGATATACATATCAGCTAACTTACACTCTTAAAAATTCAGATGTACAGATAAAATCAAAAGCAGGCAAAAAAAAAATCCATCTTTGCATTCCATGTGCACCACATTATAAATTGTAATGCACTCAACAAATTGTAATGCACTCAACATTGTTCATGGAGTAATTAAACATTTATATAAAAAAAACATGTTTAGATATAGAAATTCTGATAACAGAAAAGCATATTTAAAAAAAAAAATTAATGTGGAAAATTTTATAAGCTTGTCTTAAATAAATTATTTCCACATAAACAATTACAAAAATCATGAATATGTATATATGTATATATCTGCTCAAACATTATCTATTTTTTTCAGCTACTCTTATTTTTAATTTCAAGTCTTTTCCTATTTTGATGTATTTGAAATTTAGATATTTAATCCTATACCAGTCAAATTCCTTTTCATTCAATTAGGATGCAAAGAGCCTTTAACACTTTCCAGGAATTTGTCAAGAAACTCAGTTCTCCATAACATTGAACTCAAGACTAAAATATTTGTTTAAAAATATTCTGCATAGTCAAGTTCTATTTTGTTTTTAGAGTGATCAACATCAACTACACTACTGCTATGGGTTACATAGTACTTTTTATTAAGGAGGGACCTCAGATGGCATTATGGTACAAAGTTGAGCAAACAACATGATGTAAACAAAAGATAAATGCAAGTAATATGAATGGTACACACCAGCAACGAGGGTTTGCTAGGTGGACACATGTAAATGCAGTACTGGAAATAAATTTTCAACAAAAATGACAGAATATGCTATGTTTAAGAAACCCAATGTCAAAAGTCTAAAATCATTAAAAAAAAAAAAAAAATATTATATATATATATATGGATATGACTGCTGCATATATACAAGAAATCTTTTAAAAATCTGGCTAATATCAATTACACAATGGATGTCTCTGGCACCAGAAGAGTTACTTATTTTCAACAAACAATTATAGGCACTGAAAATGTTTTGAAAAAAACTTTGAATGAAAAGAAGGAAACTATGCTTGCTTTCCAGGAAAATCAAAAGAAAAATTCTTGAAAATTTATGGAAAAGTTCTAGACTTTCTCATTGCTTAACTAGTTACACATTTTTTAATTGAAATTCTATAGGCTGTCACGTGTTTAATTGATGTCAGTCTTTTATAGGGTATAATTCCAGGTGTAAATAAATTTTTAATCAGTGAAAGAAGTCCCTCATAAAAGTGTAATAGAGTGGATTTTTTATGCCTGGTGACATCCTCAAACTAAACAGTTATGTCATTTTGATTGCCAGTTGAAATATAATAAATCATTGTCACCTGGAATAAGTTATTACACTGTATTGAATGTTTATTGGCTAGTGTATTGCTACAATTGGTAATAAAACTATAATTACTATTGATCTATAAATTAAACTGTTTATTTAAACAAAACTTTGATTGCACTGTTTTCATTATATTAATATAAGTATGCATGCACTCCCCATTACAACATCAATAAACGAAGGGGGAAAAAAAGAAGATATTGAATACATCAAGTTGTCAATGCACACTTGCATTCAGTCTACAAGGTAGTTCAAAATCTTATTGTTATCACAAGTTCATCACCAGAGATATAATATTTTCAGCCTAGTTATCAAAATATCTTTTTCCAGCACATGAAAATAATGTTAAAATAATGGTAAAATAATCATTTAAATAAATATAATATCCAGTGTGACTGTTCAGAGTACATTGGTTCCTCACCAGGAGACATGACAAAACATTTTGTTGAGAAGAAACAAAAAATTTCAATGGCAACAAGTAATTCACTTTAGCCTCAATCATTCTGTTGAATTCAATATTGTTATGTTTGTATTAAAACATAATATATTTTTTTAATTTTTTCAAACACTTTAATAAAATCATGAAGTTTACTTTGACTGTTTCTCTTATGGTAATAAAAACATTTTATTTATTTTTTTTTAAAAAGATTAATACCAACACAATATTTCTAAGAATTTTTTCCAACTCATTGCATTTTGGGTTGTGTCATTACAGTTTTAAAACTCACAAATTTAATCAATTAATTGAACTTTTTAACAACTTGTCAGAACTAATGGCATAAATTGTGCTATGCCGCTTTTTCTTCTATATTTTGGGGGCCCTTGATCAATGTATTGGTCACTCTGTAAAACAAAAATTAATTGCAAATCCTTGCTGATTTACAAGCTGAATACTTTATAAGCTTGTGAAAAAAATTATTTCCCAGTCAAATATAACAATTTTAAAAGTATTAAATTATGGCATCGGGAGTTATTTTAATCTTCTATAACTATATGGACTGCATTATTATGAAGCCTACTAGTCATGGTGCTAAAAAATACTAGCCAGTTAAGATTATCTTTTTGAATGTAAACAAAGATAAAAAGAAAAGAAAAGAGATAAAATTAATTATGCCATCATTTAGCTTTATGATTTAGTTGTTAGTCTTTAAAGACATTCCAGACAAATTCATCCAAGCTAAAGTATTAAATACAATCACCGTGAACCTCATTAGACTCCCAGGATATGACAGAACAATAATCAACATATTACTATGTTAGGGTCTAAAATATACAATATCCCTTCACAAAAACTGGTGCAGCCAATGACTGCACTGCTACCTATGACAAACACTTGTTTGAAGTTATTTAGTTACTTTGCTTGTAAAACATGTTCATAGCTGTCTCTTATGAGTGTCATTCTGTGACCATGGTGTAAGAAATGCTGCTACTAGTTACCACTAACAAATATGTTAAGGTTGGACCCTTAAGTCTTTTCTTCTTCTCAGAAAGCATTTGAACTATGTATTTAATGAGGGCCTAATAAAGGTACTAATTAATTAAAAAGTAGGAAAAATAAAAGCAAATATTAAAATATCCTGTTCCCATACAATGCCACTACTTTTATTTGTATGAAGTTTTTATTTGGTACACAAGTTTGTGATCATTTTTTTTTTGCACATATAATAAAAACTATTATATCATGTTGTAATACCATACTAAAAGTCAATAGTTCAAAGCCCTTTGCACAAAAGAAGTACTTCAGGGATAGTGCTTTTGTGTCAGTTGCATGACTCTATAACTATATAACTATACATTTCCTAACAAAGCCATTGCAGTGATCTTTCATTCTGTAAATGGAATCACTAAGCGATGGCTGAAATGGCAATCTCCTGAAGCACCCCCTAAAATGCACAGACGTTAGATGAACTAAAGCCAGCTACAGCATGTAAGCCTGTCCCTTAGGCAAGAGCATGCGCACAAAGCTACAACAGATATACACACTGCAATAGTGTCGATATGAGTATTATGTTTCTTAAATACTTTGCCTTTATAAAAAAAAAAAACCTTTGCTTTCTCGATATATACATGATACAGGCAGTTTATAAACAGTGTATTTTAATCACACATCCATACAAAAAATGCTAGTTCTGACACAGATTTAGGTTTTTATCTTCAAACTGAAACCATTTTAAAATCCGAAGCATCCAATTTACTTCTGCTTGTTTTTATCGTTGTAAAAATCTGTTTTATATTTAAAATATGCTATTTTTTTAAATGAAAGAAGAATTCAGTTGTTATTGCTTATTTTTGGCTTTTTAAACTTAACTGGATAACTTATAAACCATTCAAATAA